TGTGATATCATGTTAAGCAAGGTCAACTACATCCTGAAAACTTCCAGCCTAATCTGCCCTCTAAAAAACTGGTTGGACTTTGGAAGATTGGGGTAGTAATAATGAATAGTGCTCTCCACTTTTATGCCGTTAGCGTAACTTGAACTGCAATGCCCCAGAGGGTGCTCAGGCATTGTTCACAGTCTGCGGCTCAGCGTTTCTCTAGAAAGAAGCGGTTGGGCGAAAGAGTTTTGATACGTATCGACGGACGTTTCGCCTTCGCGCAGACGCTAGCTCGACCGCTCTGGCGTTTTTCGCCAGCAAAATCGATACGCACCTATTGCTTTTCGCCCAACCGCCGAATCGCGGCGGTTCGGCGAAAGGAGCGATTGGCGATTCTCGATCGACGGGCTATATTTTTTGCTTTTCGCCCATCCGCCGTTTCGTCAGGGTCGCACTGTGAACAATGCCTCACGAAAGCGTTGCCTTTCCGCGACGTCCAATGAATACAGCGGTTTTTTTGCGTGGCTGTATTTATTCTGCTTGAAACTAGCCTTCTTGACAAACTATGTACTATTTTTTGGTCTCCTTTTTGAATGCACCCTTCTCAAAACAGGTGGTTTTTCTAGTTTGTAGGTTTGAGGGTGCTCACGTGTTTGATGGGAGGAAACGAGGACCGGAAACGCGACAGGCTGCTCTTTGCTCGCCAGTACTTCCGAAGCAGCCAATAAGATATTCTTCCAGCGTGTTTCGAATGAGGAATTTGACCCATTCGAGAATAGAAAGCCGTGAAATTGGACATATGACACACTGAAAATGTGGACGCCTATAGTTGCTAATAATCTCTTATTCATTTTCAAACCGCGTTTGCAATGCTCTCTCTTTTAACTCTTTTTTTTGTCTGATTTTTATGTGATAAAAATGCTACTGGATCACAATCACTTACTCGAGAATTTCAGGGAATATCCATACGCATCAGGCTGCGTTCATACTTTGCAGCGGCGCCCGCCAGCGACCACCGGTGCTTCGAGCGTCCGTCAGCGCAGCGACTAGGAAAAAGTGGAGATCGATATAGAACGGCAGGCCAGGAGTGGCAATTGAGAATGACGGGGGATAGAAGGTAGGTGAGCAGATCTGCGGAATAGCAGCATGGGGAAGTAGGAGGAAGTGGACAGCTGGGTTTAGGCGTCGCGAAATTTCGGCGTGTGCAACGCACCGTACGTCGAGTTGCATTTCTGTGCTCTAGCAGTTGTATTTTGCAGTTGCATACGCCACACAGTTTTACGACGTCTAATCCAGCTGTTCGCTCTCCCCTACTTTCCCATATTCTCCACGCTGGTGGATGCTGGCGTTCGCTAGATCAATAACTATCCTTTCCTAGACGCTGGCCCTAACGAACGCTCGAAATGCTGGTGGTCGCTGGTGGACGCTGCCGCAAAGTATGAACACAGCCTCAGGCATCCTGTACTTTGTACTATATTTTTGTTACCTGCTCTTTCCGTTTTATCATTGAAACTGAAACAGTAAATTCATATCAGATTATGGATAGATTTAGATTCTCATAGCAAAATGAAGAAAGCACCGTGCCGTCTATGTGGGCGAAGTTCTTACGTTAAGGATATGAGGATAATTGGTACCAATGCAAAAAGTCGGCACTTTATCCTGATAGCTACACTTTCGTTGATCGGAGTTGTGGAAACGGCTCATGTTGTTGGTTTAGTGGACCATATTAGCAAGAAATATAGATGTCTTTGTCACTCTCACGTGATACAAGCGGTAAGTTTTCAGCGAGGTCTTAGCTGTTACCTCATTGCGATAAAATTTATTTTGGGCAGGGCCAATACTTATGTGGTGAAATTACGGCAAGTGGGAAGTGCATTTCTTTCTATAACGATCCCTATGCACAAAGAAGCACTGCCTACGTCAGCACTGGAGATATTCCGCCACATCTCGTTGACATTATCAACGAGATCGGTAACGTGAGCTCTATGACATAGCACTTCCTATCATAAGTTGGGTGAAAACGCAATATTTAAGGGCGATGTTACGATCACTGCTAAAGACTTAATGACTTTTGTTAATGCGGCGTTGAAGAGATATTACGGTACTTCGGTGTGGCCTCAGCAGTATGAGCAGGTTTATAAATGATTTCACGGACTATCCTCTTGAAGTTGAAATACGTATTCTAGATGGGAATGGAGGAGGTTGATTTTAACACCGAAAATGGAGAATGTACGACATATTTTGAGTCACACATTCCAATGGAAGGAAGTTCTGCAAAAGTTGCTGAGATCAAAGAAGCGGATGAGGATGGATGGAAGACGGAAAGGAATCACGATGTGAAATATGAAGTGAGTACTGAGCTCAACACTACTGACTTTAAGACTGCGTTCGTACTTTGCGGCAGCGTCCACCACTGACTAGGAAAGTATGGGTATCGATCTAGCGAACGCTAGCGTTCAGGATTGGAGGGGTACGGACGAAAGTAGTAAGAGGGTGGCAGACTGCTCGTAGTCTGTTAAGGTAAAACGGCAAAATCGCACTTAAGCATCCTGTCTTTCAGCATCGCGGTCCCGGCACGATTACCCTGAAGGTGCTGCGCGCGCTCATACGATCGCACAACCACGAAGTATGTGGAAAGCGCTTCGTGTTTCTGCACAATTTCCGAATGAAGCGCGTGTCGTATTTTTACACGATCCAATATCAGGCGCGCACCTGAAGAAGTTTAAAGGAAGCAAAACAGATGTTTCATTTCGAAACACTTTAAATGACTTGCATAATGCTGGCTATCATAATGTACATTTAGTTAACAAAATAACCCATTCAAGAGCGAAGTGAACCCTTTTTTAATCTCCAGTGTGTGTAATCACTTTTCAGATGTCAAGTCACTGTAAGGAATGTAGAAAGTCTCGCCATACTCAACCAACTTGATGGGGTCAATTCCAAAAGCTGGCCAAAATGCTTCACCAGAATTTCTCCACTGAGTCAACCGGAAATTATCTTAACCAACCTGTTGAAAGTTTAAGGCATAAATCAATGCGCACACCTCCTGCCACCGTTTCCCCAGATAGGGTAATTTGCCAGAATTGTTGCGTATAAAGGTGCTCTATGCTTCGCATTGCTGGAGGCGCACTGCGTTGGTATGAAGTAAGGCGAGCTGTTTTCAGCTGCTCTCTACAGAATTCTTGAAGAGCCGCTTTTTCGAGCCGCAGTATGCTTAAATTAGGAAGGGGTAGCTTTAGAGGAAATGTCCCCACGTTGATGGGCGAGGTGCCTAAACATGATGAGAAGGCGCTTTTCCTCCTCTTACAGGACTTTACCTCCAGTTCTACGGGAATTTAGTGGGAACTCCACATCACCAACTTTATACAATATTCGATGCTTTTGTGAGTATAGTGTGGTGATATTCCCATGCTGAGTT